ATCCAGCTCAGCGGAAGACGACAGCTCTATAGTGACAAAGCGAAGATTGTCAATGTCGGTCAGTATCTTCGGATCCAAGCGGGGAAGTCGGTAGAACTGCCACTGCGCTTGAGGACGGCGATCCACGACAAGTTGTGGGTCACGCGTGGAGATCAATGGGTGCCGACAATATCCAACGGGCCAGGGAGGATGAAATACATCTCGATCACCAACATTGGGGACAGGGTGTTAATCTTGCACCAAGATCAACGAATCGGGATCTGGCTGGCTGGAGATCATGTGCCGCGAATACCGGGTTTCATATCGATCGGCTCTCGTCGTTACATGGAGTGGCAGAATCTGGCGCTGGAAGCTACGACGGACACTCAATCCGAAGAAATGGAAATCGAGAATCCGCCGATACCAGCGGTGGAGCGGCCCGAGTATGAAACTCCGCGCACAATACTCCAGAGACCGAGGACAACGTTGATCCAGCGCCAGAGAGTCGAGGCGAGTCAGGATCAAGATATTCCCGACTGCTCACTCGCTGACGAGGCGCCGCCGGATAAGTCGCCGTCGGACAAGTCACCGTCGGAGATGCGATCGTTGGATCTAGCGTCAGTCGCGAGCGAAGAGTCGGATCTATCGTCTATTGCAGTCGAAGACTATATTTCGCATGTTGTAACGGTCATGGAGGCTCTGGAAGATCTCGATCAAGTGACGTCGGAAACAGAGGCAACCAATCCGCTGATGGAGGAAACGACAGACATGGAAAGACTGGAAGAAGAAGATAGCCAAGGCGGCAAAGGGAAGGTCAGTTGGGATCAACCACGTTCGAGAGACCAGGATCCAGGGACGACGTCGTCGAAGTATAGTGGGTCAGATCCACCACTAATGATGAGTGTACAGACTGGAACAGGCCATGTGACGGGTGATCCGCTGAGCGGGAAGTGCGCCACGTCTGTGCCGCAAAAAACGGGCGTAGATCCATCCCCGGTTGTGGAGAATCAACCAGACACATCAGATCCGGATCTCACCTGGGATTCAGATCAAGATTATGATGAATGCGTGTATTACCATGAAGGGAGCGATCTATACGCCGAAGATGTCGATGGACAGATGGCGGTGCTGCCTGAAGTACCCGTGGCGACGGAGGATGTGGGGATCGAAGATATTCAACTATGTGGGTCGGACAATCAAACTCCAGAAGAGATCGAGCGACTCCGACAGAAAATATGGAAGTTCCGACATCTCTTGATCGGGAAGGGAAATGCCCTCCCGCCGGCCGCTAGAGGTGTGGTGTGCGATATCGACGTCGGAGGGGCGAAACCCATCGCTCTCAAATGTCGGAAGTTGCGGATCCAGTTCAGGGAAAAGCTAGCCGATCTGATCAAGGGTCTATTGTCTGCTAGGATGATCAACTACTCCAGATCACCATGGGCTTCCCCCATCGTGGTGATCATTAAAAAGAACGGAGTAGATATCAGGCTATGTATCGACTACCGGCTGGTTGGTTAATAGCCTGACACAACTGATGGTATACCCAATGCCCTTGATCAACGATCTACTCGAAGATCTGGAGGCGACACTTTGGTACTGTTCTTTGGATATGGCAAGTGGATTCTGGGTAGTGAAAATGACGGATCGCGCTCGTTTGATCTCGGCTTTTGTCACTCCTTTTGGATTATTCGAATGGAATCGAATGCCTTTTGGCCTGAAGAATGCGCCCCAGATCTATCAGCGTATGATCGATAACGCATTATATGGGTTCACCCGGATCCCGAAGTCGGAAGATTCCGGGAGTACGGCGGATGTGTTCGAGGACGGGGAACCAGTGGATCCAGGCAGGCCTCCGGTGCTTGGGCGCAGATCATATATCGACGACATCCTAATTCCCGCTAATAGTTGGGATCAAC